AGGAGACCAACAAAAACGTAAGCCTACTCCAGAGGTGGAACAAGTGGCAAGACAAGAAGATTAAAAAGCTGGTGGATGTAGTGAAAGAGCTAACTGGCACTTTGAAAGAAATGAAGATCCAAGTCACAGACTTACATGCTCGAGTTACTGGTCCTTCCAACCCTCCTATTTCTGGGTTAAGCTCTCTGTGAAGAAGCGGCTCCACTCGACTCGCTCCAAGGCGCAATGTCCCGACAGAACCCCCAAGAGCTACCTCATTCGAGCCTAGAGACAAGAAAAGACGTACAAGAGAGCCACAGAAGCAAAACTACGCCGGTGAAGCAAGCCCGTCTACCCCACTCGATCAAACAGTCGAGCCAAGCTCTGACCAGCAAATGACGAAGGCTGTCCCATGGAGCTACACGAGTGAGAGGATGGATGACTATGTCTTTGCTTTCTTCACCTAATCCAGGTAACAACTCCACTTTATCATTGTATATACCACATTTTATTTTGCTTTTTTTTTGTTTGCCCTGAGTATTTGACGTTGTGTGTATTTGACGTTGTGTGTTTTTATTACACAGAGATTGTGTAATTTATGTTTGGGGGAGGGCTCAGGGAGTATTTGACGTTGTGTGTTTTATTCTTATTTCAAATTTTGCATCATATAGTCTGCATTGCATCTAAGACATAGAAAAACCATAAAAATTTGAAATGTTTTGAAAAGCATTTCACAAAAAAAGAGTGTTCATGTAGTTTGCATTGTCATGTAGGATTGTTTAGTATGCAATCACTTAGGACTGTTGCATCATGTATTTGCATTGGGGATTATGATGATTATAACCTTGTAAATATGCATATTCACTAAGTAAATTCACTGCCCAGGTTGTTAGTTTTCTAATGCATAATTGATTGAACTTGAAGTAAGACCGCACCATCTTTTGAATTCAAAGCTTGATTTTCTTGTTCTTAGTCGAATCTCGCTTTGATCTGATGCCATTCCCTATCAATTTGAACCTTAATTTTGACTTGCAATTATCAACATGTGAATTGTGTTATGAACTCATGGATACCTTAAAATACTTGGACTTTCTTTTACCTTTTGATCACTCTTGCTAGTATAAGTAGCTGACTCCCATCTTTGGAGCAGTTATTCCCTACCCTAAGCCTTAACCTTCTTTCAAGCCATTTATCATTTGTGTGTGACTGTAAGGTCTTATTTTGATTGAGATTGGTAGAAAGTGTTAGGTTTGTACCGACAAGGATAGTATCTCATGTAGTTCTAGTTCACGCTATCTTGACTAGATAGGACTAGGTGGGTGCTTAATTCTGGGTATGAGATGTTCTTAAAAGAAAGATAATGTTGTGTTCATCATTGAAAGAAAAGAAAAGGGAAAATAGTCCTTAGGAGAAGTAGCTAAAGTAAGAAAAAGTCTGGTAAAGGATTTGGGAATGTTAAAGTAAAGAAAAGGGTTTTGTAATAGCTTAAAGAGAAAGGGCAAAAAGCCTTGTGTTATAAGAAGAAAGAAAAGAAAACCCTAGTTGTTAAAGAAATCCCAATCCGCTAGATAAATCAAAGAAAAAGAAAAGCTTCTCCTAGGATAGAAAGCAAAGAAAGAAAGGAATGATTCGAGTAGAGTCTGGAAATACTTTGAATGCAAAAGGGTAGAGTTAAGTTCATGTTCTGGGATTAGAAATAGGACCTCCATTTGGGTTAATATTGATTACATTCTAGGTAGATGGGGTCTTATCCTTGTATGCATCGCTTGGATCTCACCTTTAGCATTCTACTAAGGCTCAATCATTCTTGAGGGATCCTTGTTACGATTTAAACCAGATCTTTAAGGGACCATCTTTGTCTCTAGACCTCTACCCTTAAGCCAAATGAGTTCATATCCATTGCATTGTATGATCCACAGTTCTCACTTAATCAATGTTAAAGGGAATGTGCTGATGTGAATGCTTGAATTGATTAAGGCAGAAGTTGGGTTGAGATGTGAAGAACATGGCTAAAGTTTTTATATAGAGATTAGTCAACCTTGCATTCTAGAATTAGCAACCTGGACATTGAATTCACTTACTTTATATGCATGTTTTGGTTCTGAGTCCCTACCTTCAAACCTCTTCTCCAACTTAGTTTTGTTTGTTTGCTTGAGGGCAAGCAAAAACTAAGTTTGGGGAAGTTGATGTCTCTGTATTTTACCTCTTTTTAGCATACATTTCTTATGCATTAAGCTTAGTTTCCTCTCTGTTTCATTGCATTCATAGTCTTTTTCCTACTCTTTTCATCACTTAGTACGATTTGCATAGCATATTGCATATTGGAGTATCACTACAAGAAAACCTGCAATTTGGGACTCCTTGTTGTGACTATTTATTTGGTCGCAAAAAAGAGCGACTATTTTGTAATTGATATGCGACACCTAAACGACTACAATCCAAGCAGATGGAAAATAGTCGGGGGTTTATGGCGAATTATTATGTATGGTATGAACATGGTGAAGATTATAATGTTGTTGAGGAGGGAACTAGTAGTCATCATGAATATGCTGATAATACCAATTATACTAGTGGTACGCATGAACCAATAGGATTTGATGGGGAGAATGTATATGCTGGGATGGCTAATGATGGGGAGAATGTATATGCTGGGATGGTTAATGATGCATTTCATGGTTCTGTACCATATAACGAATATAATGAACATGATCAAAGTGGAAACGATCATGTTCATGAAGAACCCACCCAAGAAGCAAAACGATTTTATGACATGCTAGCTGCCGCAAACACTCCACTTTACGATGGATGTCGGGAAGGTCAATCGCAATTATCGTTAGCAGCTCGGTTCATGAACAATAAGGTGGACTACAACTTGTCAGAAACTTGCATGGACGGATGGGCATAATTGTTTACAGAATATTTACCAGAAGGTAATCAGGCGACCGGTTCCTACTACGAGACAGAGACTTTGATGCGAAAGCTAGGATTGTCGTACTATACATATGATGTATGTATAGATAATTGTATGTTGTTTAGGAAAGATGATGAGAAGTTGGGGAATTGCAAGTTCTGCGGAAAACCAAGATACAAGGAGAGTGAAGGAAGAACAAGAATACCATATAGTAAGATGTGGTATTTACCGATTGGGGCCAGATTGAAGAGAATGTATCAATCTCAAAAGACTGCAGCTTCGATGAGATGGCATGCTGAGCATGAATCGGAAACGGGATTAATGTGTCATCCATCAGATACGGCTGAGTGGAAGAATTTCCAGCAATTCCATCCCTCATTTGCAGAAGAACCACGAAATGTTTATCTTGGATTATGTACTGACAGTTTCAATTCTTTTGGCATGTCCAAAAATCATTCGTTGTGGCCCGTGATCTTGACTCCATACAACTTGCCTCCTGATATATGCATGAGCAGTGAGTATTTGTTTCTTACAATTTTGAATTCGGGACCAAATCATCCACGAGCCAGTCTTGATGTTTTCCTCCAACCACTGATCGAGGAGTTGAAAGATTTATGGCATAACGGAGTTGAGGCATATGATGTGTCATGTGATCAAAATTTCATACTTAAAGCCGTCCTTTTGTGGACTATTAGCGATTTCCCAGCATATGGCATGTTATCGAGATGGACTACACATGGAAGAATATCGTGCCCAATTTGTATGGAGGATACAAAATCATTTTGGTTGCCAGGTGGTCGGAAGACATGTTGGTTTGATTGCCACAGAAGATTTCTTCCTCTAAACCATCCGTTACGGAAGGACAAAAAGCACTTTGTGAAGGGTAAAAATGCAGTGAACGAGTATCCACCTCAATCGGTGACTGGTGAACAAGTCTTATATGAGCGTATAAAGACTGCCGAGCCGCCTAAGATATCTGACTGCGGAGGAAATGGGCATGAAAATAAAGTGGATGGGTATGGAGATTGGCATAATTGGCACAAAGAAATCATACAGTGGGAGCTACCTTACTGGACCGATCTAAATCTACGACACAATCTTGAAGTGATGCATATTGAGAAAAATATTCTCGATAACGTCATGTACACTGTGATGAATGTGAAAGACAGATCAAAAGACACTGTGAAGTCAAGAATAGATGTTTCCAGATTTTGTGATCGGCCTGAATTGCATGTTGATGATCGAGGGAGATCTCCATTTCCTATTTGGAGATTGAGTGCGAAAGCAAAAAAAAATCTCCTTGAATGGGTCAATCAGAGGTCAGATTTCCAGATGCTATGTAGCAGATTTAGCTAGTTGTGCAGATATCAATGCCGGCAAGTTTTCGGGAATGAAAAGTCACGACTGCCATGTATTTATGGAACGATTGCTTCCGTTTGTGTTTGCAGAACTCTTGCCGCGAAACGTACATCTTGCATTATCAGGTAAATATATTTAATTTATAAATATATGTTTGTTCTATATATAAAATAATATGACTATTAATTTTATTTTATTTGTATTGTAGGCATTGGAGCATTTTTCCGTGATTTAAGTACTCGATCATTGGAGCTAAGTCGCATCCAACTTTTGAAGGAGAATATTGTCATGATTTTGTGCAACTTGGAAAAAATATTCTCACCTTCTTTCTTTGATGTTATGGAGCACCTACCTATACACCTACCATACGAAGCAGAGCTTGCCGGTCCAGTTCAATATAGATGGATGTATCCTTTCGAAAGGTTTTTTAAACGTTTGAAAGGCAAGGCGGAGAACAAGATATCCAGCGGGTTCAATCGTTCAATCGTACATGAATGATGAGATATCATACTTCTCGGAACACTATTTTGCATCGCATATTTCTACAGCTATTAGAAGAAGGTATTTCATACTATATTATAATGAGAATACAATTATTTTAATAAAAGCAAATATTTTTATGAATTAATATATATACTTATGTTCGCAGGACAAGTCGGTATGATGAAGGTGAAGTTCCTGTATATCTTGTCCCGGTACCAGACATATTCACACAAGTCGGTCGTCCAAGTGGCAAAAGCAGTGAGTTCTGGTTAACTGAGCAAGATTATACATGCGCACATGCATATGTTTTGCGTAATTGTGACTATTTTCGACCGTTTGAAAGGTATACGTACATTTTTACCAAGTAATAATATTAGTTTTAAGAGCATTCTCTCTATTAATCGACTAATGAGAATATTTTTTACATGTCGAAAAACAGTATGTTGGACGCGCAAATTCGGGATGAATATCCAGAACTCTCTGATGATGAGGTCACCTCTAAAAGAGACGAAGATTTTCATTTATGGATTCGCCAATACGTACGTCGTATATACTAACGATCTCACTTTAAATCGACTCATGGATTGGAATATATATCTTTACTAATCTATATAATTTTCATTTTAGGTGGAAGCAACGAGAAGTCATCAAAATTTTCCTCCATGGGTTCATGAACTAGTGGAAGGTCCTGAAAACAAAGTCAAGTCATGGCCCATGTATTTTACTAGAGGATATATGTTTCACACGCGGAATCATGGGCGCACAAGAAAGACAATGAATTATGGGGTATGTGTTCGAGGACAAAATTATTCTGAAGCATCTCACGAAGAAGATTTTTATGGGACCGTGGAAAAGATAATCGAGCTCGAGTATCCAGGACTGGTTAACTTAAAGATCACACTTTTCTACTGTCAATGGTTTGACCCAAAGGTTGGCAAAAGAATTCGTATTTCAGATGGAGGCGTTGTAGACGTGCTACAATCAAAGAGATACCAAAATTACGAACCATTTATTTTAGGTAATTTTTCATCCTATTTTCAAGTATTTGCTAGAGACGATCTTATTTTATTTCAAATTTTTGGCTTTGTACAGGGTCTCAAGCTGATCAAGTGTGTTATCTTTCATACCCGAACACAAAACGACCTCGAAAAACGTGGCTTTCAATTTGCAAAGTTAATCCAAGGAATGTTGTTCAAGGGAAGTTTACTGAAAATTATATGGTTATACTGCAACAATCTGTTGATGAGGCACCTCCGAGCATGATTGAAGAAGTTATAGTTGAGAGCTTAGTTGACGGAAATCATCAAGATGAACCTATCGATTTTGATATTGAAGATGCTGAAGGAGAAGACGAATTTTATTGTAATTCATCAACATCCGAAGATGAAGATGAAGAAGAAGGTGAAGATGAAGAATAATTATAAATATAAGTCATTTGTAAAATAATTGACTAAATTTTAATGTGTGTTTTGTAATATATTTTAATTAAATGGCTTGATGATGTGTGTTTTGAAAAATAGAATTAAACAGCCAATTTGTTATGTTTATTTACTAGTTTTGGTAAACATTTAACGATTAATTAAACAGCCAATTTGATAACATACTTGCCATACTTGAAAGCAGGTTCTCGGTTCGAGTCAAGTAGAGTGTTTTTTTTCCATCATTTTACTAACAGTCACAAAACAGTCGTACTTTTGCCACCATTCTGCGACTAAACAAGATAATCGATCACATCTACCAAACGGTCACAAAACAGTCATACGTTTGCCACCCTTTTGCATCTAACACCTGAGACTTAGCGACTAAAAATGAGAATATATCACCATTTTTCAAAACAGTCGCAAGACGGTCACACTTCTGCCACTATTTTGCGTCTAACACCTGAAACTAGCGACTACTTTGCTACATATTACCAACTCTCGATATTGACCAATCCAAATTTCTAATTTGGAGTTTGTTTATATGTTCCATTATACGTTACTAGTGTGATATGATCGAATTTAGTTATAAATACTTACCCAACCTCTTGAATTTCAATGATTAAAAACCAAACATGCAAAAATACCTAATCCATATGAAGTGTTACATGTTCTTTTAAGAGAATGATATGGAATTTATAACAAATTATGAAATAAGTTGTGGAAGCAATTTTTTACCTACCTAAGACTTATATATGTACTTTATGCTACTAAAATGAGTGTTGATAGTAAGATTTTAACTAAGATCAATTATCCTTAAAGTACTATCATGTCATTGTAGTATTTAAGGTGTCAATCCAAATGGGTGTGATGCTAGCAATCAAGATGCAATCAGATATCACAGAGTCAAGCCAAGCAATAACAGGTTTTGATGTTGTTAACAGTTCCAGTGATCATGCAGAAAACAGTAATTCTAACAGAAACAGATAATACACTCGATCACACAGCTTGATGCCAAGCGTTGGATGTGGTCGAGTGCCAGGTCGAGTACCAAACAGACACTGCAACAAATGTACTCGACTGCACAGTCCGTTTCCAAACCGCTGGGTGTGGTCGAGTACTTCAAGTGAAATAAGTAAAAATGCGAAAACTAAGCAACAAGTAACGAGATCAAGCAATCAATAGCGATGTGAACAAAGAAATCAATTGGAAGAGAAATTCCCGAGGATGGGGTAATCGAGTAGTGAAGTCTCCTTAATCTAACAGTTGGTTAACATGCTCAACAAACTATCCCTAGACAACAAGTTCAATAACCAAATCAAAGTGCTACCGCAACAGAGATCCTCAAGCAAAGCTAGTCCCAGACTCAATCACCATTGACGAGAGCTAACCTAACATGCATTACGAAACAACAAGTTAAAGTCAAAACGCTCCCTGTAACCAATACCTTGGTACAGAGCCACGAATCTCTGGAATTAGTGGTTCAGACATTTCATCGAACACCTTTTGGGTGCGGAAATGTCTGGGCTCAGATTCCAGTTGATCAGAAAGCAATCAGCATTAAGAACAACTAATCCAAAAGGGATCTACCAATCAAACTCAACCACCTATCAGATTAAAGATTCTAAGCTACTCTAACCCATCCTCAAGAACCCTAATCACTACTCAAAATTCATAACCAAGAACACAAACCCAGAAATGCATAAAAACTTCATATTAGCAAGATCTCAACAAGATGAACAACTTTGTAGAAGAAATCAAAAGCAAATACTCAATAGATTAAGAGAAATCTGGATTACAAAGATGAAGAATACACTAATTGTTCTGCAGAATAAAACTTAGTCTGAAAATTAAGAGAAACAACATATTTATATTAAATACTAGGAAACCCTAAAACACAAAACGACAAGGTTTTAAAGCGGTTTAAGAGAGTACTCGACTCTTGTGATCGAGTAGGAGCAATCGAGTAAAGTTGACGTCTTGGCGGTTTCTTGATCTGGTCGTGATGCAATCGAGTACCTAGGTCGAGTGGTGAGTCGAGTAGTGCTTCATCCTCTTTTCTTCCTTATGCTCAGTGTTTGGTTGAGTTGGGATCTGAGAAGACTCTGAAGCTTGTGATTAAGTGGCTGTGGGGAGTGGAGATCGAGCATCCAGTCGAGTGGCTGAAGAAGATGGTGCTCGACCACGAGGTCGAGTGGTAGGTCGAGTTGGTGAAGGAGAGGGTACTCGACCACGAGGTCGAGTGGTCAGTCGAGTGGTCATCTGAAGACGAGGTCGAGTGGTGATCTGAAGAGTCTGCTGGTGATGCTCGACCGCGCAATCCACTTGGTGATGAGGAGTTGTGGTCGAGTGATCCTGAGAGGCTGGCTGCTGAGAGTGCTCGACTGTGCAGGTCGAGTGATACTGTTGGTTTTGCTCTGCTTCTCCCAATCTGCTCGCCAACAGCTCCAAATCACCTGAAAACACTCAAATATGCAACATGCATGCAAATCTATCCTAAACATGTAAAGTGATGACAAGTGATGAGAAATGGTATGAAACAATGACAAAATGATGATAAAGTGATGCTAAATGGATGCTTAAAACATGTGAAATATAGACAAATCAACTCCCCCAAACTTATTCTTTACTTGCCCTCAAGCAAACAATTAAGAACAAGCTGGAGGAGAGGTTTGAAAGCGGGGACTCAGAACCAAAGCATGCAGACAAAACAAATGAACTCAATGTCCAAGTTAGTAGTTGTGGAATGCATAGAGACCAAAATCTACTTAAAAACCTTAGCCATATTCATCACAAGACAACCTAACATTTGTTCCAATCTACACACACCTTCAGATCATCAATTCCCTTTAACATTCATTAAGCTCAAACCATGAATCAAGCAAAACATTGTTGAAGAACTCATTTGGTTTAAAGGACAGGGCTGAGAAACAAAAATGGTTCCTCAGTAAATGGTTCAGACTTTTTCACAGTAACAGGGAACTCTCATGAATGGACAGAGCTTTAGTAGAATGCTAAAGGTTAGAACCAACCTATGCATACAAGAACAGACCCCATCTACCCAAATAACCATAAGCATACCAAACTCCATAGATGGTCATATCTCTAAACCCCAGAAATGATCCTACTTCTACCCATTGCACTCAAAGCATGTTTCAATAATCTCTTGGATCAACCCATTCTTTCTTTTTGGTTTTGTTCTAAGGAGAGGTTTTCTTTTAGACTTTCTAGCGGATTGGGACTTTCTTTTACAACTAAGGCTCTTCTTCTCATCTCATGACTTAAGACATTTCTAGGCTTTTGCCTTTCTTTTTACTTTGCATAGAGCTTAACTTCTTTTATTTTTCAAGCTTCCCAAATCCTTTACTAGACTAACATGATATTCTTTTCTGTTTCACCTCCATCTCCTAAGAACAATAACACTTGTCTTTCTTTCTCATTTTCTTTCCAAACACATTCCAAAACCCAAAGTAAAACTCCCACCTAGTCCTATCTAGCCCAAAAAGCGTGGACTAGAACTACATGGGATACCATTCTTGGTTCATACCTAACACTTTCTACCAAGCTCAATCCGGAGATAGGCCTCACACACACACAAATTTATTCAGGGTTTGAAAGAAAGGTTAGGTTCAGGGTGGGGGAAACTGTTCCAATGATGGGAATCGGCTACTTGGATTGTGTAGAAGGTGAAAGAAAATCCAAGTATGTGTATTGGTAGCCACAAGTTCAACAACAATGCAAAGACATGATAATTACAAGTCAAGTTCAGGTTCTAATAGATAGGAAAAAAAATCACATCAAGCATGCTTCAATTAAAATAAGAGAGTCAAGTTGTGAATTCCAAATATGGTGCAGTCTTAATTCAAGTTCTATCACAAGCATTAAACAACTAATAACGAGGGCATTGAATTCATTCAGTAAATGAGCATGCTTACAAGGTTATCTCATCATCATCCCCTATGCAAATGCAATAATCCTATATGAAATCTTCTAGACTCAATCTTAAAATGAAAATGCAACTACATGAACACTCTATTTTTGTGAAATCATTTTCAGAAATTTTTCAAATTTTTAGGGTTTTTCCAATAACATAGATGAATGCAGACAATATGTACAATGCAAGAAAAATTTGAAAACAAGAACAAAACAAACACATCAGATACTTCCTGAGCCCTCCCCCAAACTTAAATCACACAGTCCTCTGTGTGACCATACTTGGAAGAGAGTACTCAAGACAAATAAATAAAGAAAGAAGACATGAAATGGTATAATCAGTGAGAAATAGAGTTGTTACCTCAACTGAAGAAAGAGTTGATGTGCTCATCAATGCCTGCTTTGTGTAAACTGCCAGGCCATTGAGGAGTCTTGCTGTTGTGCTTCTCCTCCTTCTCCTTCTTGATGCTCGACCATGTCATCTCATTACCATGTGGCTTGTGTTGGTCGAGTATACTGATGTTGATTTTGAAAAATTTAGATCAAAAATCACATCATACTCGACTGCAACTCTTCAT